ATTTATTGAAATCAAAAACCGATACACAGAATTATGTATCTTAGTGTAGTCTATTTGTGTGCCAAGTTATATTGAAATTAAACCAAAACTGTAAGAGGAGTAGCATTTTGAAAAATTGTTTACAGACAGACGGACGGACGCCGGACGCATTACTATCACACATGCTCTCCTGGTCTTTGACCAGTAGAGCTAAAAACTACCAATAGCAAAAGTTAAAATTACCAGTTGCAATGGCTAAATAGTTAAAAGATCTACAAGAAGCGATAACTATTTTAGCTGAAGCACTGTGCTTACCTCATAATGGTGTTTAAACATAGTACCATTGTCAACTGAAAAATAAAATGTGATAATTATTAAGCATAGTTTATGTGTTTATGCATAGTGCAATGTAACAAAATTATGGGGGGAAGATGTACATGACATAGTTTCTTTAAATATCTTGTCCATTTACCATTTTCTCCACAAGATTAGAATTGTTTTCTTTAAAAAAAATAAACATACGTAATCAAAGATTACGAAGCTCACCTCGACGAATGTAATCAGTCTAAGTAATGCAAATCTCAAATCATATTTTCCTAACAGTTAGTATTTTTTCTGACAACAATATTCAAACAAGTTCTGTTTAAATAGGTCTTAAAGTTCATTGGGATTGATCTGTTCGAAAAACGTTAACCTGGTCACACGTTTGGAAAACGTAGGTCAGATCCAGCATCCGAAGCAAGTTTGATTGTTCATCCTAAGATGCATCATCCATGCAAGTTTGGTCTGGGTAGGGCTTATAGTTACTTGGGAATGGACCTGCTCCAAAAACTTTAACCTAGTCACTCATCTGGAAAATGTAGTTCAGATCCTGCATCCGAAGAAGTCTGGTAGTGTCCATCCCTAGATACATCATCCATGCAAGTTTGGTCTGGGTACGGCTTATAGTTACTTGGGAATGGACCTGCTCCAAAAACTTTAACCTGGTCACTCATCTGGAAAATGTAGGTCAGATCCAGCATCCGAAACAAGTCTGGTAGTGTCCATCCCTAGAAACATCATCCATGCAAGTTTGGTCTGGGTATGGCTTATAGTTACTTGGGAATGGCCCTGCTCCAAAAACTTTAACCTGGTCACTCATCTGGAAAATGTAGGTCAGATCCAGCATCGGAAGCAAGTCTGATAGTGTCCATCCCTAGATGCATCATCCATGCAAGTTTGGTCCAGGTTGGGCTTATAGTTTCTTGGGAATGGACCTGCTCCTAAAACTTTAACAGGGATGCCAACACTAACGCCGACGCCGGGGGTATAGCATAAGCTCATCTCGACTTCGTCGAGGTGAGCTAAAAATGTTAGTGATGACCAATAATGAATTCAATAGTTAGAACCTGTCATGGTACAGGGCTCTCCATCATTGATATCTATCCCAGATAACACAGCACCCTCCTGAACGACTGTGACCCCATCAGAGGTCATGGTCACACTGCCTGACAAGGTCACTGCTGTTACTGTCACATAGTAAGTCTGCAACCAAAATAGAGGAGATGAACATTTGTCTTTTTTTAACTTCTGAAAGTGCATATGTGAAGGGATGACTATATAAAAACTCAAGTTTTAATAATGTTACATTTGACAACTATATATTCTGGTTGCTGTAGATTAAAGCACCCAAAGTTTCTACATCATTCAAAAACTGAAAACTAAACATCTGCATTTTATTCAATTGCCTATAATTTTTAAAATTTACATAAAGTTTTAACTACAGATCTTAAAGCTTAGTTTTTTCTGCTCTTTATCATACCGCATGATTGACAAATCATACCTTGAAATTCTCTAGACTAAGACCAGTAGCAGAATGAGAATCCACAGACCCCACATCTACAGAAGGCACCACATCTGTACCACCTGGAGTGGTTCCTGCCTGGTACTTGTAGGTCACGTTGAGGTGGGGGTGAAAGAAGCCCTCCCAGTGCGCCGTCAGGCTGTCTTTCGTTGTGGTGAAATCTACATCCTCTATATCCTGTCAATGAATATAATCATTTATAACTGAAGTTTCGAAAGTTAAAGTTTTTCAGAAAATACATGGGCTGATGTAGCAAACATTACTTACAGTGAAAGGCATTTGACCTAGATTCTGAAAATAGATTGAAATTGAAAAGATATGAGGATATATTTGTAACTGATATACAAAATATCAGTAAACATGAGGTGCACTTCTTTAATGCATAAATAACTTTGGCTAAAAGTGTGATAGTGGTAAAAAATTAAAGAAAAGAGAGATAATGATTAACACACATCAAGCAAAATTATCAAAAGCAAATTAGAGAATAAAGAAATAAAGGAAATCAAAACATCATTTTCATAGAAATCTGACTGACCTAGGCTAAAGTTTTCCAAATCAGAAAACTTACAGATGCCTGGATATCAAACACCACTCCCTTGGTAGCCAGCTGTACATCATGAACATAAGGATCAGCTACGGCATATGTTGAGAGTCCAGCTGAGTTCTCTGCCTTGACAGTGACGTAGTACTTCTGATGGCCATGAAATCTCCACTCTGTGTCTGACACACCAATGGCTGTACAGGTCGGAGGGTTTCCCACCACACAAGATCCACCACTCTGAAGTGGAATGTGGGACTGCACATCTGTTTGTCTTGGCATGTGTCCTGTTCATTGAATCAGATATGAAAAAAATTTCATGATCTCTGAGTCTTTTTATTTTAACAAACATTTGCTTGTTTATGAAAAACTGAATAAAATATAATAAAGAATAACTTTTCATTCCTCCCATTTACACAAATTTCAAAATTCCAATTAATCAATGAATTGCAAATTTAAAGCACTTCTTGAAAACTGCACCGTTGCTCTGTGATAATACAGTAAATGTTACAACATAATTGTACCAATAGCAAATGTTACAAAATAATCGTACCAATAGCAAATTCTAGCTTCAGTTGGTTTGGCTCCTGGGCATCAGCAAAAGCACCAGGTCCCCATGATGCAATAAGGAATCCATTTGAGTGAGTGACACTGATAGGTCCTGTAAACACTGGAGGTGTGGTGTCCATAAAACAGGGACCAATGGACTGAGGGAAAAAATACGTACACTCTATCTCAAGTTCTATCTTAGTAGCATATATTTTTTCCTATTCGGTTGACATTTTAGATTGTATAATTGAAGATGGGCCTTGGGCCTTTATGATTACCAGAGTCTGTTGCTCAATACATTTTCCATACATTGTAAGTAGAGGACTTGATCCATGAAATATTTGAGTTAAAATCACTCAAATTTCTTGCTCAATGACAGGTAAACTAAAAACTAATGAAGTACCAGGTACTCCCATTTAATCTGTTTTGTATGGTACATACTTAGTGGTAAAAACTTGCATTGATACAGAAACACAGGAAACCTTAATGTTGCTACACACCTGGGTTCCCTCCACGTTTGCTTTGCTGATCGTTTTGATGATGATGTAAAACTCGGACCCATCTGGTACGTCAGTGTGGTGCACGTGGATGTGGGGGTGCTGTTTGGTTCTTCTGAAGGCCATGATGTCTGGGGCAGGGCTCCCTGCTGTCGAAGAAAATCCCACTTCATAGTCATGGACACTGCCAGGGTTAGCAACTGGTAGCCAACTCAAAAACAGCTATACAGAATTAAAAAAATTAATAAAAACAATATTATGACACTTATGGGATTAAATTCATGTATACATGTACAGATTATTAAGCAATGGTCAACAATATATCATGATTTATATAAAATACAATTGAGCAATGTTCACCCTCATCTTGAAGTTCTCCAAACACCTGACTTCAAGATCATGAAAATAACTAGTCTTATCTTTAAATTTGCAGATAAAGACTCTCTGGGGAGGAAAAATTAAAAAACCTATTTTGTTTTCTACAATATGATAATTATGAGCATGTTATGAATCTTCATATTCTTACATTTTAACAGGTCGAGACCACTACCTTATATGGAAGGCAATTTTCATCACGTGATGATATCTTCGTCACACCCGTTCGCCAATCAAGTGAATGAGTCCGAAAGCATGACACTCTACTACGTTGTTTACGATTCAATGGCGACACATGGTTTTCGTCCGTTTCTGCATAATATTCACTTCGTCACCGGAAAAACTGTAGTGCTTCTTTGTCACGTTTTAAGTCCGAAATTGAAAGATTACATTCCCAAGACTTTGCTGCATGCTCACATTTAATATTGGAGTTGTTTTATATGATTAATAGTTGCTTCGAAAGTTCGAATAATGTGCAAACACTTTGATGTTTGCATGTACTAAAAAACTTTTTGATAATATTTAGGGGTTAAATAATAATAGCACACCTTGTACTGCTGTCTAAAACTATGTACACGTAAATCACGTGAAAAAAATTCAATGCTTTATCGACACGATAGGACCTACATGTACGTCTCTTCGAACAATGGTTTAGGCCGATGTATTATAAGTTGATATATAAGGCTTCATAAAGCAAATTTTGTAAATGTGAGCATAGAAATGAAAGATTATACATTATTTTATATATTTCTTCCATAAATCTCAAAAAAGAATTGAAAATAAGTTTCCAAGGGATAATTCAAGTTGGCCTTTATTTTCAACACAGCTGAGTACTTATAGTAGCCCACAATGCATTGCGACTCATTCATCAGTGGGTAAAGTAAACAGATAGCTAATTTACATGCAAATTTATTCTGACGTCAGAAAATCTAGTGGTCTCGACCTGTTTAATGGATCGCCATACAACTTAAGTATTTAAGATGAAAACTAAAGCAACTGTACAGACATATTTCAAATTAACACTCCTATAATTCACTAAAACTTTTCCTTGTTAAGAAAAATTCATTGATTACTATATCCAAATATATTTTTTCCAGACAATAAAATTAATTAAAAATCTGTACTATGCATCTGACCCTCTTACCCGAGATGATTTAGATAATGTGGGACTTAGTTTAGCAGGTGATCCTGTTGAGTTAGCACAAAACACACTGCCATTTACTGTCACAAATGTACCGTTGTCATGGTGCTCAGCAGGCAAAAGGTCAAGGTCAGATAAAACTGTAGCCTTGGAACTTAAAAGAAAAGTTATGTAAAACCATGTTATATTCATAAGCCATTAATAAGCTAATCATTTTTTTAAATGTGAAGTTTTTATTATGTATATTAAGCATCTATTTTCCGTTAATTTTGAATAGAAGCCACATATAACTAGTTTGCACTGGAGAAGTTTAATATCTCATATTTATACTCAGACGACTGACTTACTTGCAGTCTGGTGTGGGATCTTTGATTAGCCTGCGGAATCTGTTACTGCTAACAATCCAGAAGTCTTTTCCGTCTGTAACGAGTCCCCCAGTGGTTGTGGCTCCCTCTATGTTCACTTCCTGTACAGATGGCACTGCTGTAGTAACCGTCACTCCGTCTGAACACACAGGTTCCGAGGGCTCTAGAGCGCGGTTATAGGCCACAACACAGATGTAATACAGTCCCTCTGTAGTCACAGTGTGGGTGGCATGCATCGAGTAGGTCTCAAAAATCTTTCCCTGAGACATTCATTTAATGTTCTTAATCATAGAGTGGATGTGCATGCATAGAACATTAATTGATAAAGGAGTATACATTGCATTGATTCGGGTCCTTATCACTGAGAAAAAAAAAATCATTAAAACAAATATCAGATGTTTCACTATGTAAACTGACTTCTTAACAACATATATTCTCAACTGTCATAAAATGTTATAATGGAAGACAAGAGTTTGGATGAATTACTTACATTTCCACTGGCCTCCAGAGAAAAGTCTGAGGCAGTGAGAGTTTTGTTGTCATATCCATACTGGTAGAAGAGCACCCCACTCTCCCTGTCAAAGAAGCCTTCCCAGTGGGCGGTCAGGGTCTTACTCTGCTGGTAGTCCACCTCCTCCCTTCCTGGTATCCCATCCTCCACCACCCCTGTGTGGGGAGGGGAAGTGTCTATTGTTATCTGTAGGCAAAATGTATGTAGAGTACAGCAGAGAATAAAAAAAGGAAAATACAAGGTCTCAGTTAACCATAGTAAAGTGAAAATTGTTTAATCCTGTACAGAACTGGCTCCAAAGAAATTGGACAGATTAGACAACATTTTAACAAATGAATTCAAAATGAACTTAAAATTAACATCTTTTTGGGTAGGATTTAGGAATACACAACATTCAGCATAGACAAGTTTCACTGTATATCATATAATTAATAATCAGTTAATATTGTATTTGCATTATCAATCAAAAGAATGAGTGGCCCTTGACCTATATTTCCATTAGATGCCCTACCTTCTTGGACAGTATGGTGGTCAGTTTGGCCTTGTTAGTGGCGGTCACCTCCAGGTAATAATCAGAATCATGCACACCTTTATGTTTTCCGTCTATCAGTCCACCGTTTGATGCTATTATTGGTTTCACCTGAAAGTGTTTATGGTAGGCTCCCCAGAATGGAGTTTCGTAACAGTTAGCTCCTCTAGCATAGCTTCCATATTTTGATTCACAATCTTGTGTGTCCTGAAATCAAGAGAAATACTGTAAGTCGTTTTAATTCCATGGTGTTAAAATTTTGCAATATCTCAAAAAGTACCAATTGTGATGGTTTTTAATTTCATGCTGCAAGAAATACTAATTCAAAATTTCATATAAACATTTTTAAAAACATTTTTAAATCTAATAATAATATTCAAAATGTACGGAAGCATATTAGTGCCACGCAATATTTTTTTTAAAGTTGGTAATTCCAACTTTAAAGTTGGTAATTCCAACTTTAAAGTTGGAAATTCCAACTTTAATCTTGGCTTTTCCAACTTTAAAGTTGGAAATTCCAACTTTAAAGTTGGAAATTCCAACTTTAATCTTGGTAATTCCAACTTTAAAGTTGGTAATTCCAAACTTTAAAGTTGGTAATTCCAACTTAAAAGTTGGAAATTCCAATTTTAATCTTGGTAATTCCAACTTAAAAGTTGGAAATTCCAATTTTAATCTTGGTAATTCCAACTTTAAAGTTGGTAATTCCAACTTTGAAGATGGAAATTCCAACTTTAATCTTGGCCTTTCCAACTTTAAAGTTGGTAATTCCAACTTTATTCTTGGTAATTCCAACTTTAGAGTTGGAAATTCCAACTTTAATCTCGGCTTTTTCAACTTTAATTTGAGTTCTCCCCTACCTCTTTTTTTTTTAGTTTTTCCTCTTTATTTTAAACCATTACCAACTTTATTAAGGAAATGGAATAGACTGGTTATCAATAAATTTTGGCAACCTAGATGCGGGGGGTGGGGGTGGGGGGGGGGGGGGGTTGCAGAAGAGAGGCTCTTTAAGAAGGGCGGACTGCCCCATTGGGAGTTATGGTAGAAAACTTGAATTATGCTTAATAAAGTTAATATATACAAGTACATTGAAATAAATTGGAAAGCACTTTTATCTGTGTCGGATTATTTTTACCCTGACCTGCTATGACCTTACATAAAACTTCCAACTTTTAATTAGAAATCCGTATATTTCCTTTTGTCCTCTAATATAATTACGAGTTCAGTGTCAAATTTTTATTAATTAAAAATAAATGTATGTAATGGCTACTGTAGGATCCTATTTTATGTTAATATCAATTTCTTAAGTTATAATAAATAATAAAATGCTTTCTTTGGTTGATAGAACGGGAATTAATGTCGCAGAGACAGTATCATTTCTGTATATGGAACATATTATTTTCAGTTTGGGGCATAATCAACCAACTACCATATATGTCTGCAACTTATTGTATTATTGGTTGGGGGGGGGGGGCAGCACACCCCCATGCACCCCCTCCGGCTCCTACGCCATGCACAATAAAATGTTTCCTTCTAAAATCATCATTTCATAATAAAATTGTATCTTTCCATTTAAATTACATGTATAAAATGGTAACACGATTTAAGCTACAAAGTATCTCAGACAATATAATACATAAAGCCGAAAAATGTTGGAAAAGCGATGATTAAAGTTGGAATTACCAAGATTAAAATTGGAATTTCCAAGATTAAAGTTGGATTTACCAAGATTAAAGTTGGAATTTCCAACTTTAAAGTTGGAAAAGCCAAGATTAAAGTTGGAATTACCAACTTTAAAGTTTGAAAAGCCAACTTTAAAGTTGGAATTACCAACATTAAAGTTGGAAAAGCCAAGATTGGAAAAGCCAAGATAAAAGTTGGAATTTCCAACTTTAAAGTTGGAATTACCAACTTTAAAGTTGAAAAAGCCAAGATTAAAGTTGGAATTACCAACTTTAAAGTTGGAAAAGCCAAGATTAAAGTTGGAATATCCAACTTAAAAGTTGGAATTACCAAGATTAAAGTTGGAATTACCAAGATTAAAGTTGGAATTACCAACTTTAAAAAAAATATTGCGTGGCACTAATACGCTTCTGTAAAAATGGGTTGAATTTCGCGGAAAAATGATAAATCGCAAACATAGCAAAATTAAAATCATTGTGATTATTTGCCAATCTACAGTATATTTTCATTCATTAACATTGCCTAGCTAAAAGAATCTTAGATAACTATGAGGAGTCTCACATTCAAAAATCAATGTTGACTAAAAGAACATGCAATTACATGTATCTACAGGAATTAAGTTTCAAATAAGTGGTTCACAATGCTGACTAGTTGTAACTTCTTTTAAAAGCTTTATTTAAACATGTAAATTTCCTTATAATTGGCTCTATAACAGATAAGCACTACTTACATTGGCCATTCCTTGAGCTGGGATATCCTCCTGCCCATGCAGTACATCTATCCCTGTGACGTTATCAAACAATCTCCAGGCAATGTTGTTCAGTCCACTGTGATGGTCATATGCAATCCACTCTATCCTGTAAAAAATATGCTTTGGGAAAGTTAATGGAGTGAATTCTGTTTACTACTCTGATTCTAAACTTATTCATGAGTTTTACAATGATTCTTAGAGATGAACATGTTGAGAAATTAAAACTTTTGTTTAACTTTCTTTTAAATAAATCTAATATTTTTATGAATACAAGAAAACTATTTTTGCCTGAATTAAATCTACAGTTATAATTCTAAAACCAGTTTATTATTAGTGAACTTAAAAGTGACATATTCTTACGTCATTTCCTTAAAGTCTTCGATTCTATGAACACTGACATTCAATCTATCTCCACGCGTCAGCCACAAATCCTCGATGTGAGGCGGCGACGCATCCCTGTAAACCGTGATTGATTCATCTAAATATTTACCCAGCACGTCTATTGCACGCACAGTTACCTCCAGCTTGTTACCATCTGTCCACGGTAAATTAAGCTGGTCACCTTGGTTAAAGATAGAGGGCACTGATGTGAAATCTTGGGAGTCCACAGTACTAGTTGAATCAGTAACATTGTATGCCACTTTGAAATCCACCAATGCTGTAAGGAAATTATCCAGATATAATAGTAGTGCTTTCTGATGTTTTAATTTACAAAAGGAAAATCCTTACTAAAGACCAAATACACAAAATCTAAAACTACATCAAAATATTTCAACAATTTTTATCAAGTTGAACAGAAAGGCATATTTTTTTTCCAATACTGGTAGATTTATTCATCCCCAAATTGTTCTATAACATGGCAAACCCAAAGCCTCTGATGAGACTGTAGCTCTACTGGCTTTTACTGTATTAATTAACAAAGATAGAGGAAGGTAGCACTAAGATTTAAAACTATGGCAACAGCAATAAAAAAAAAATAATGATCTTAACAATGGTACAGCATTCATCGAAATAAAAATATCAATAAAAAGAATTATGTATCTTAGTGTACTTGTGTAATTAGTTGTAATAAAATTAGACTAAAAAATGTAAGAGAAGTAGTGATTTGAAAGAATTTTTAGAAATTTTAATTTTCAATAACCATAGCAACATGGTTTACCAAAATTAAAAACAAGTACAGAGAATGATGCATCTTTATGCAGTTACTTTTTACTGTGTACCATTTTACATGTATATTAAAATCAGACTAAAACTGTTCGAAAAGTAGCTTTATGAAAAGAAGGTCATATGAGGGTTATAAATAAGCTTCAATAAATATCAATGACACAACTTTTATTTAAATTTTACCTTGTCCACAAACTTTAAGTACAACCCCCGTAATACAACCTTTCATTGTATGCAATCATTTTATCAAATATAAGCCATCATTGTTTTTTTCATAGTCTAGAATTCATTTATACAAACAGGTTGTTTGGTGATTCCTACATGTATAGTATTTAATATTGAATAATTTGTAAACAAACTCTGTAGTAGATATAAAGAATTACCAGAAGTCTCTGTCGAGACTGAAGCTCTACTGGTTTGTACTTATAGCAAAGGAAGAGAAAAGTACTTCAGCAGTTGGGAATTGAAACTTAACAACAGCAATAGATAGAATAATGATCCTTGATAAAGTCTCTTTATGTTCTTAGTGTAGTCTACAAGTTTGCGAAGTTATATTGAAATCAGACCAAAACTGTAGGAGGAGTAGCATTTTAAAGGAATTTCACAGAAATTTCTATTTTTAGTTACCACGGCAAAACCGTTTATTGAAATCGAAAGCTGATAAATAGAATTATGTATCTTAGTGTAGTCTACTTGTGTGCCAAGTTATATTGAAATCAGACCAAAACTGTAGGAGGAGTAGCATTTTCAAAGAATTTCACAGAAATGACTATTTTTAGTAACCACAGCAACAACGTTCATCGAAATCAAAAACAGATATAGAAAATTATGTATCTTAGTGTAGTCTACTTGTGTGCCAAGTTATATTGAAATCAGACCAAAACTGTATGTGGAGTAGCAATTTAAAGGAATTTCACAGAAATTTCTATTTTTAGTAACCAGGGCAACAACGTTCATCGAAATCAAAAACTGATACACAGAATTTTGTATCTTAGTGTAGTCTGCTAGTGTGCAAAGTTATATTGAAATCAGACCAAAACTGTAGGAGGAGTAGCATTTTAAAGGAATTTCACAGAAATTTCTATTTTTAGTAACCACAGCAACAACATTCATCGAAATGAAAAACTGATAAACAGAATTATGTATCTTAGTGTAGTCTTCTTGTGTGCCAAGTTATATTGAAATCAAACCAAAACTGTAGGAGGAGTAGCATTTTGAAAGAATTTCATAGAAATTTCTATTTTTAGTAACCACGGCAACATCGTTTATCGAAATCAAAAACCGATATAGAGAATTATGTATCTTAGTGTAGTCTACTTGTGTGCTAAGTTATATTGAAATCAGACCAAAACTGTAGGAGGAGTAGCATTTTAAAGGAATTTCACAGAAATTTCTATTTTTAGTAACCACGGCAACACCATTTATCAAAATCAAAAACCAATAGACAGAATTATGTATCTTAGTGTAGTCTACTTGTGTGCCAAGTTATATTGAAATCAGATCGAAACTGTAGGAGGAGTAGCATTTTGAAAGAATTTCACAGAAATTTCTATTTTTAGTAACCATGGCAACAACGTTCATCGAAATCAAAAACCGATACACAGAATTATGTATCTTAGTGTAGTCTACTTGTGTGCCAAGTTATATTGAAATCAGACCAAAACTGTAGGAGGAGTAGCATTTTAAAGAAATTTCACAGAAATTTCTATTTTTAGTAACCACAGCAACAACATTCATCGAAATGAAAAACTGATAAACAGAATTATGTATCTTAGTGTAGTCTTCTTGTGTGCCAAGTTATATTGAAATCAAACCAAAACTGTAGGAGGAGTAGCATTTTGAAAGAATTTCATAGAAATTTCTATTTTTAGTAACCACGGCAACATCGTTTATCGAAATCAAAAACCGATATAGAGAATTATGTATCTTAGTGTAGTCTACTTGTGTGCTAAGTTATATTGAAATCAGACCAAAACTGTAGGAGGAGTAGCATTTTAAAGGAATTTCACAGAAATTTCTATTTTTAGTAACCACGGCAACACCATTTATCAAAATCAAAAACCAATAGACAGAATTATGTATCTTAGTGTAGTCTACTTGTGTGCCAAGTTATATTGAAATCAGACCGAAACTGTAGGAGGAGTAGCATTTTGAAAGAATTTCACAGAAATTTCTATTTTTAGTAACCATGGCAACAACGTTCATCGAAATCAAAAACCGATACACAGAATTATGTATCTTAGTGTAGTCTACTTGTGTGCCAAGTTATATTGAAATCAGACCAAAACTGTAGGAGGAGTAGCATTTTAAAGAAATTTCACAGAAATTTCTATTTTTAGTTACCACGGCAACACCGTTTATCAAAATCAAAAACCGATACACAGAATTATGTATCTTAGTGTAGTCTACTTGTGTGCCAAGTTATATTGAAATCAGATCAAAACTGTAAAAGAAGTAGCATTTTGAAAAATTGTTTACAGACAGACGGACAGACAGACAGACGGACGGACGCCGGACGCATTACTATCTCATAAGCTCTTCTGGTCTCTGACCAGTAGAGCTAATAAAATGAGGGAACAAACATACCATGAACATTTGCAATCTGCTTGCTTTGTCTTTCTCCATAATGATCATCGTATTTTGATTCCACTGCTGTAGCTGATGCCACTCTGTTTAGCCATCGCTTGTCCTCATGGTGATAATTACGAAATCTGTCCTTCCACATTACATCCACATAACTGGTATCCTTGGTAACCCATACATAATTTGTTTCCTTGGTAGCTGTGGTGACCCTTGTGACCTTTGTCGGGTTGGTGGTAACATTAGAAATGTTGTCATAGAGTAGGACTTTTCTTCCAGTTTTGTGGTTTCCTGCTTTGTCAAATGCTGAGAAATGAATAGAGTACATCCCTGGTGCTGGCAAGTCAAAGGATTCCTGAAATATAATTTAAACAAACCTCAAAATCACTTGTGTCCCTCAGGGGGGAAAAAGTAAGATAGCCATACAAGGGGTGTATGTCTTTCCATATTTTCTTTTCTGAGAGCATTTTTTTTTTATCTGTCTTTGACCTTTTTGTTAAAAAACAATAAATAAAACAATTCTAATTTCCATTCCCTACTACACTTTTCCTATTCTTGAGGTTTTGTATCTTGAAAACTTAGCAAGACTTCTCCAAACCACTATTAGACTTTGGTGTTGGGTGCAAATAAAATAAGTGCATAGAAGTGTGCACCAGACTGGCTCTTGAACCCAGAAGGTCACAACAGGATTATGTTATAAAGTTATATACCCCGGTAATAGCTATCCTTAATTTTTATATAAGAAATAAAGTCCTTGTTGTTGTGAATGATGCAGGATAACCTCTGAGGTCAAGCAATATTATCTGAAATATAAAAGCTGAGGCTTTTATATTTCAGACAACATTTCGGGACAGAGGAGCTAGGTTATCCTGCATCATTCACAACAAGGACCTTATTTCTATTCTACTAACAGCTCTAAAATAAAGCTGATTGCCTCCTCTATAGAGTAATGAATCAGGTCACCATGTCTCAATTTAGCTGTTCCATTTAACACCAGAGGGTCAAATTATATATTTACTTGTGTATTGACTGCATAAAATGCAGACGATTTCAGCTTTCATTGGATTAAAAACATCCTTTTATTATTTAATTGATTTTGTTTGCAACATGTATTAATCAATTTTTATGAATGTAAAGTAACAAAGTCAGTTGTCTATTTCATTGCTTTATCAGTAAAATCACAGAGTGTAAATGTTGTGGGAAGGTCCTTGGAACAGCCCCACTTGGCTAGAAAAACCGATATTTATCATCTGATTTAGGCAATACACACGTACTGTTTAAACTGTGTAAGACGTCACATCAATATATGTTCTAAATAAGTAATTGATTCTACAGTGAAAGATTTATTTCAACTTTACAGGTTTGACATGTATTTCTGATCTGATAACTTTCTGCTGACATTCATGATTTATTGTAGAATAATGTCCCCAGCATTTCTTTGATATTGTCAATAATATGGTAGAATTACTGGTAAAGGGGGAGTTGCAGATAAAAAATGGCTACCCCTAAGTGTGACAAACGTACTGATGTAGTGTCGCCCCCATCCACTCACTTTTCAAACTTAGTAAGGGTAAATTTTGTATTTATATCAAGTCATTATGCCCTTACCCCTGTAGCATTAAGTGCTATATCAGTTGGCATTTTGATTATCTTTCCCTGCTTCTCTCCTAACAGTTTCCCATCATGCCCTAGCTCATACACTTCATACTGGTACTTCTCCAGCCCTGACAAATCATCTGTCCAGCCTCCCCATGTCATGTCAACTGTTGGCTGAAAAAAATTAACACAACTTTTAAACTGGCTTGTCTTACTTTATAACCACTGCAGATGGGAGAAGTCAGTGGTAGGAAGTTATTTTTGAAATAAAATCTGATACATGTACATATATGCATGTGCATCACTTACATTTTCTGTTAAATCTGGAACACTTAGGAATGGTGGATTATCAACACCTTTAACTAAATTATGATAAGGCTTCTCCAAGTCCCAGTGGTATTTAAACTCTCTCTCTGTTGTCTTGCCCACTAAAGGATGGTAATCTATCTTGTTATTGGCCTCTCGGTTTTTCACTTTTATGTAACCTCCTGTTGTGGCTTGGAGATAGAATATTAATCTGTAAAGACACCTTTGCAGTTTGATAATCATAACAATGCACCTAGTTTATCTGCTTTATATAGTGGGGAGAGAAGAATTTATGCATTTTCACTTTATGATCTTAAGAGCCACACCCTAACTTGAGAACCCCTGACCTGGGACCATGAATTAAACAATTTTCGTAGAAGGTACAATCATGCAAAGAGTTTGCCTGTTTTGTGTCCAGGAGTAATTTGAGGAGGAATTTTAATGATTCATTGCACTCATTTTGATGGTTTAATTGGTCAACTCCTAAGGCCCTGAGGGGGTGGCAGAGACCATGAAATTCAAAAAAATGTTTGTCCCCCTACAATCATTGATGCTCTATGCCAAAAATGGTTGAAATTGGTTCAGTAAAAAAAACAGCTTTGACATTATATATTCAAGTGACTTGCACATTGGACAAATGCATATAAGTTCATGTAATTCCTATATACGTATAATCTCTAATCTTTAAGGATATCCGATCCTCAGCCAGGAAGAATAACTCCAAAAATTAATATTTAATTTGAAATGCATCAAAATTAAGCTTGAAAATGATTTTTTTCATGCAACAATTTTTCATTTTATTCATCTTTATAAGACTCAAGGTTTTTTGAAGTCTTAGAAAAGGTCTTATAAAAGTTGACATTTGTACCCTATAAAAGGAAAAAAAATAATACAGTTTTAGAGAAATAAGATTTTCTTGAATTCAGTCTTAGATACCAATGCTTATGAACATGATATGAAATAAGAAGTGATTTGTGGTGTCTTGCAATGATAGCAGAAGCCTTTTACACTATATATTACAGAATACTTGACGGATATAGAGAACAAAAAATACCACATAAGTATAAAAATCATGACAATTTCCCTGAATGCCTGGATACCTATCATCTTTTAACCTAAAATATATTAGTTGATCAATTTTCAATTAGAAAATGCATTGCTGATATTCCAATTCGCTTTTTCTGCAAAAATATTGGAGATTTGACAATTTTCCCTATATGATATCATTAACTTTAATTTTTAACTTAAAAGAAATACAGTGGATAAATTAACATTATTTTGTGGATTCAAAGATACTTTTATGAGTATTTTTGATTACTTAACTGCTAATTTTACAAACCTGAGGATCGGACTACCTTAAGAATTGGTTTTAATAAGTACTGTATGTATACTAATACTATTTATAGAAACATTTTCAAAATCAGTACTTTTAATGTCATACATCAATAAACAATTTCCAATTTAATATAGGTCAAAGGACACAGAGCACTATACACCACTGGTGTCAAAATATGAAATATAAGAATAATGAAATACAAATTCAGTAACTTGTGGATGAAAGTATGAGGGTGGAATTTCTTTCTAAAATTTTATCGCGATTTGATGAAATCAATCAACAGGCATATTCGTGATATAGAGTCATAATGCAACAATATTGGAAAATTTCACCACTTTCCGATTACCAGTAAGGTCACACGATCTTTCCGAAAATGGATAGTTGTGAAACCCGGGGGAGACTTCGACGTAACGTCAAGTTAGATTTATATGTCACGTCACATTATAGAAGCATTTCGCTCAAATGTCCAACGATAATGTAATTCAACAAAATGCTGCCTATTTCTCTACTTTTTTTCTCAAGAAAAGCCTGGGTATCCTTTCGCACCAACTTATCTTCATATTTTACTCATATTTCAAAATACTACCCATCTTTCCATACAATGTTCCAATTTCAGTAGCAATGTCAAGAACAGTACGGCAGCCAACAACGTCCATTAACACTTTTAATTTGTCTAGGGGGATACGTACTTAAACAGAGCCTCTAAAAAGCGACCACACTTTTTATCAACGTCCATGGAAGTTCTATTTTTCTTATGCTACTGGAAAACCAGTAACTAAATGCATTTTTCCCAAGCCTATGTCAATAATATATGCGTTTAAGATAGAGTGATCCCCGGATTTTCACAAAACGTGTGACTTGACCGAAATTTGACGTTATCTAACAACTTAAAGATGAACAATAAATCATCAACTTATAAACTAAATATCCAGTAAAATCAGTAAAACTCTCACACAAAGGTTTATAAAAGATCAAGCAATCGTAATAATGACATAATTTTCGTTTTATATACCACATAGGGCAGTTTAATTCTTATTTCACGTATTAAGAATTAAAATGATAATAAACGCGTTTATGTCTCCCCCGCATTTCCAAACAACCGTTTCTATGGCAACTGCCATAAAGTTACTATCCAAGATATTTAAAATGTTTTTTAATTTAAAATATTCATCAAGTGTCTTTATTTTCAGTTGTAATTTTCAACCTATTCCACTGAAAAATAAATAAAATATGAAGAAATTCCACGAACTTTAGGATCAACCCTCGTATACAAAACATACTGATCATTGTGTTTCAAATCCAGCAATGGGTGTCCTTGATTGTCAAAGGTTTTTTTGCATAAAAACGATGTAGTGTTTGGAGCTCTTTCTGACACTCCCTCACAAATGTGAATCAGCTCACAAATTTTACTTCCCCCTGCAAATGAAAACAAATCCCTCATGTTTGTAGATGTTTTTTAAGAAAATTAAATAGAGTCAGAAATTCTCTACATCACAAATTTCTTAGATGCTAAAAAAAATAGGGATGTCAACGAATAGTCGACTATTCCTCTATCAGTCAAATGGACCGACAATCGAATAATGGAACGACATTCGAATATTAAATAAATGCAAGTAAAAGAGGTGATAATGAAGTTCTCATCTCAAAATTGAAAAAGCGTCCTTCCTCTCATAGTGTACGTCCTCAGACGAATAAGAGCTCAAACACAGTCACAGTTCATAAATATTTTTCCAAATTGTACATATGGAAAAAAAAACAGTAATTACATACCGCGACAATTATTTCTGAATCACCGACTTTTTTGTTTTTGTAGTAAATTATGCAGCGTTATACTGGACTTTGAAAATTAATTAATTGAATTGTACCAATTATATTTATAACCTCTAGGAATTTCAAATCCTAGGAACACACAATATTTGCATAGCCATGAAGTTTTTTAAACTTCGATAATTATCAAAACAATAATCTTACATAAAAGGCATTTTGATAGTTTGGGCAATCATTAATTGAACAAACAGTAGTTAACAAATTTTCACCAAAGGTGTGGATAGTGTGTGTTTACAATTCCCATTTTCCAATTTATTTCAATTTTCCAATTTAATTTACTTAATAAGCTTTCAAAAACACTGTGCTATAAAAAATGCTTCAAATAGTCGACTATCATTCGAATAATGCAATCGAATGTTCAACTAAGGAAAATTTATATTTTGACATCCCTAAAAAAAATAATCACAAGTTTTCAAAACCCTGCATTTCTCAAAAAAAAATCTTACGCCTATATTGAAGCAATTTAGTAGATGCGAATTTAATTCCATATCTAAAGTCAGTGACGTAATGATCTAATCCCTCGATAATAGGAGGGTCTCCTGGAGTCTTTAAGAAGGCGTCCCATTTTATGACTGCCCTGGTCCAGGTTACATTGTTGGTCCAGCGGGTGGGCTGGGGAGGACCCTCGCTCAAATCGGCAGGGTTTCCCAAGGTCCTCCCTGTCGGATCTTCTAATTTACACTCGTTCTCCATGATTGAGGCCTCTGTTACAACTGAATAAGAAATGCTACAGTCAGTGGTAATTTCTGCTTGCATTTATCTGTGAGTTTTTCTACATGTATTTTATTTTAACAGTTACACTGGTTTTCTTTAAATATTAAATGTTATCACAACAGTGCCATTCATTTTATTTCAATTCCTGAATCCCATGCATGTATAATTCAAGGGAGAATTTTCAACTCTTCATTTCATGACTTAAAACTACAGGGAACAAAAAACACTTCATTTGCATGAATTCATTATAACTAAATGTGCTCACTCTAACCATTGGTTTACTGTAATAACCTACTTTTTTCACAGTGTTGGCCCTCGAAGCCCGGGGTACATTGACACTTGGAGGCCAGGCCGTCAGTACAGGTCCCAGGGTAACACCTCGTACTGTCCGATCTCCAGGAACAGGCCTCTGAAAGAAACAACAACTTATTCTGTAATGTACAGTAGGGAATTAATTTGTGGAGTTATTACCAGGGTATTACAGGAACACGCCTCTCAAAGAAACAACAACTTATTCTATATACTTTACAGTCAGTAAGAAATTAAATTGTGGAGTTACTACCAGGGTATTCACTATTTGTGCAGAAAAAAAGAATATTGCAATTTCAACATGCAGTGAATAAATCTTTAAAAAGGGATATCAAGGATCAATCACTGACTAGTTAACATTTTCGTGTTCTTAAAAAGTGCAAAAAAACCAAGTAGACCAAAAATTTAATAAACAATTAAAAAAAATCATTAACAGTCAATTATTTAAATCGAGACACTTTAGCTTGTGTAGCAAAACCAACACCCTTACACATTAAACTTAATTATTGAACAGTTGAACATTATGGCTATTATTAATATTAAGAAAAGAAAACAAGGGAAAGATAATTAAAATTCAAAGGTATATGGGTCTGGTATTTTGTTACATTTAATTGGGTTCAACATAATCATTTTAACAAAAGAAAAAATACTTGTATAAGTGCTGGAAAAAAAATTGTTTAATACATTTTCTTTCCACAAATTGCAGACTGCATGCAAGTAGAAGAAATCACAACCTTTTTGGACCGTTACTTTAGACTGATGTTCAGTGGTATCCAATCCTCAGCAAATCTATCAGTAAGGAAATCTAACAGTCAGTGACTGAGTTCATCTATTTTATTAGTTAACGTACATGTATATGGGAAAAAAAATCACATCAGTATTTTTACAAGAGTATTGGGGTACCTTGTTCTATGACAGGTGACTGGGTTTCTGTGGAATGAAGTTAAACACATTTCCTTTTACATTTTATTGCGTATCAAAATATACCATGCATGTATAATGTGAAAAGAGGCCAGAGCAGAAAATTTCATAATTCAAAGCTTTTTACATGCATTAATGTATTCATCACATAATCTATATCAATTTACCTAGTATCATTGTATACCTAGCACAATGACAAAACTTACTTTTAATACCCTATAATCCCTATTAACCGCCCCTGCCCTATAAGCGCCCCCTTTGATCTTTTTTCATAAATTGTCAGGAAATAAGGACCCTCTGTACAGTGATTAAAATCAAATAAAATTGTATCAATATTCTGCCAAAATTTGAAGAAAATGAAAACAAAACCTGTCTATAATTCAATTTCTTGGTAGAAAATGAATCTTTTAGCTTAATTTGGGTGGTTAGAGTATCTTCACTTAAAGTAAAGTTAAAACATTATATAGTGGTTGTTTGAGTTTATTTCTTTTTTCAAAGATATTTTAAAGTTAAAATATGACTTTGAATATCATAAAGAGAATACTAAAATAGCCACCTTCTGTTTGCAAGTTTCTAAGCGCCCAGGGTGGTTAAAATTGGAATTTTATCATCTATACAAAAATAATTAAATGTTTCTGATACTTTAAGTTAATGCTATGTCAACACTAAAGTCAAAGCCGTCATTTAAAATAATGTCATCAGGCAACCCAGTTGAGCTCTGTGAAAAAAAACAGATTTTACTTCTATTATAGAATTCTTTTCTAATTTATCCATAGCTTGAATGCTGAAAACTTAAATTTTTCCACTTACTAGCCTAAAAAGGAGGGATTTTAATATAAAGCATCAACGTTAAGGCGCTTTTTGTACAACTTTCAGAATTTGAAAAACAAAATTCAATCTGTGCCTTAAATTTACACTATTGTCTTAAAGCCATATATGGCGTATGTACAATGAAAATTATTGGACTAAAATTATAAGAACTTATTATTTGTATCGTTACTTTGTATAAAGATAGAATTTTTCCGTAATTTACAAAATCTAAATCAATTGCGTTATAAAGATATCACAATTTAATTTGGATTCTCGGAATTTTCTCCGACTCGGAAGAAAATACAAAAGATTTAAATAACACATTACAGAGAAGATAAAATCGTATTATTAGATGAAACGAGGTGTTCTCCGCGTTCAGAATTGTATGAAAAACTTTAATTTAAATGTATCAACTATATTTCTTTACTTAATTTTGTATTTTTTCAAAAAAATTTTTTTTGATCAGTTACGCCATATATGGCTTTAATAACTAACTGTGGTTGTTTGATCACAGAAAGCCTCATCATTTCCAACAATCATGCCTTATGTATGATGTCATAAACAAATGAAAAAATGTAATTACCTGGTAGATAATGAAAGATCACAAAGTTTATTTTCCAACTACTTGTATGCTTTACTTGCATTTTAAAACAAGCATATTGAGAGTATTGCATAAGCAATACATGTTCCCTACTGGGTTCCCCTTTTTCTTTAGGATGTCATTTCATAATATGAAAAAGTTATGTCTAAGGTAAAACTGCTCGATTTTGACGTGAATGCCTTTAACCTAATAAAATAATCCACATTAAGGTGAAAATTCAACTCATTTTACAACGCTTCATATAGGTGTTGACCATCCGAATTTTGCGCAGCACAAACCCAATCTTGAACGATTATGAAAAATTAAAAATGCCATAATTTTGTCAAAAATCAATGAAGCAAAATGACATTCAAATTTAATCTGTAACTCATCAAGATACATTCACATACCAAAAATCAGTTCCAATATCTGCAAGCATTTAGAAAAAAATGTGGAAAACCAAGTAGAACAGACAGACAGACGGGGACAGACAGACGGACGGATGGACAGATACATAGGAAACCTATAGTCCTCTCCGGTTTCACCGGTAGGGGACTATAAAAACAAGAGGCCCACAGGCCTTATATTTATAGGTCACCTGAGTATCATGTATGAACTTTCCACAATCTGATTAAATCGGATCCTTTGATCCGCTCAGACACATAGATCGCTACACAAGCAGGATCTGAAGAAACTCCATTCAGCGTCATCTTCTGGTGACCTCTCAATTATCCAATCAAACGTTCACGTCCAAGAATTAAGAAGTGTCTCAGAATTGTCTGATGAGACTGTAGCTCTACTGGTCTGTACTTATAACAAAGGAAAAGTAGCACTTGGATTAGGAACTTCACAACAGACAGCAATAAATAGAATTATGTATATCTTAGTGCAAGTCTAAATATGTGCCAAGTTATATTGAATTTAGACCAAAACTTTAGGAGGAGTAGCATTTTTAAAGGAATTTCTATTTTTAGTGACCATGGCAATACCGTTCATTGAAATCAAAAACCGATGCACTAGATTATGTTTCCTAGTGTACTCTACTTGTGTGCCAAGTTATATTGAAATCAGACCAAAACTGTAGAAGGAGAAGCGTTTTAGAGGAATTTCACAGGAATTTCTATATTTAGTGACCATGGCAACACCGTTCATCAAAATCAAAAACCAATGCACTAGATTATGTTTCTTAGTGTAGTCTACTTGTGTGCCAAGTTACATTGAAATCAGACCAAACTGTAGGAGGAGTAGCATTTTAAGGGAATTTCACAGAAATTTCTATTTTTAGTAACCATGGCAACATCCTTCATCGAAATCAAAAACCGATGCACTAAATAATGTATTTATGTAGTCTACTTGTGTGACAAACGATGAAATCAGACCAAAATTGTAGGAGGAGTAGCATTTTGAAAAATTTTTTACAGACAGATGGACAGTAAGACTGACGGACAACGGACACCTTACTATCGCATAAGCTCTTCTGGTCTCTGATAATAATGCATTTTCACTATTTAATCTATATAGCCCCACCCTAGCACTAAAACCCCTGACCCTTGGGCCATGAAATTCACAATTTTGGAAAAGGCATGCAGTCATATTTTACATAACAGTTATTATGCACTTGCTTGGTTTCTTTTAACCCTAGGGGCAGAGAAGAAGATTTTCAAAGAAATAATGCATTTTCACTATAGATATATAACACCAGAACCCCTGACCCTGGGGCCATAAAATTCACAATTTTGGAAGAGGCACTCTTGCTCATCATAACTATGTACTTAGTTAGTTTATCTAATACCCAGGAACAGAGAAGAAGATTTTCAAAGAAATACTTAAGAAATGAATGTAATATTTTTTCCTTTGATCAATGTATCAAAGAAAAATTTGGACGGAAAACTTCATCAATGCGCGTATCGATCAAAGGAAAAAATATTACATTCATTTCTTATCATTTAATTATGCTTTTAAATTAATAAAATGAATCTTTCTTTCACCTTTCTATTAAATTTACGCATCAAAAACAGTGCGCACGAATACATCACAACAACGTTAACGTTGCTGAAATTCAAAATGGCTCAAACGAAGAAACGTTCTCAAATATTGTCGTGGCATTACCAACATTCTCTGAAATAATTTACAGTTCTTCAACACAAAAAAACTTACCTGTTGTGTTATCCCAATCGGTATATTTCCCTGGTAAGTAATGTAAAGGGAAGCTACTCAAATATCCTAACAGTTCTAACATTTGGTCACAGAAATTTTTGATTTCATTTGCACATCTTTTCATCTGAATTTCAAACCGAACATATAAATACGTATCACAACCTGTTAATGTGTAAAACCTGAAAGATTCTGCTGCCGACTTTTTAAGAATAAAAGAATCTGTCCTCATTCATGCAGTGTCGTTTTTCTCGATCATCCGTTTCCCACGTTTTAACAGATTAACGGTTTTTCCTCTCTTTGCAATTGGTAACATAAAAAACGTTTCTTCAGAATTCTATTGTTCATACCAGACATCTCAAAGCCAAACATTTCACAAAAATATGTCGATTTCTTTCCTTCTTTCCCAAAACTGTATTGTTGTTATGCAGACGATTTGATTTGTTTAGCAAAGGGGGATAATTCAAAAAGAAACGAAAGTAGAAAATAAGTCGGGGACGTAACGGACAGGTTTCGAAATTCAGGAAAATATTTATTAAAGTAAAAGTATTTATTATTCCTCCAAGAAGTAACCTGGGAGCGGGAAATATACTTGTAGAGACTGCCAAAGTAGTTCCGGCTGCTTAGCATGCTTAGTGCAAGCGAACTCTAGATTTTATTGATGCAGGTATCAAAAGAATTTTTAAACCAATCAGAATCAAGTATTTTATAGAAATTAAATGATTGCATTTTCACTATATAATCTATAGAGCCCCACTCTAGCACTAGAACCCCTGACCCTGGGGCCATGAATTTCACTATTTTGGCAACGGACTCAATGCTGATTACAATCATGCTGACAGTTTGACTGCTTGATGTCCAGGAGTAAAGAAGAAGATTTTTAAAGATTGCATTAATTTTAGTGGTTTTGGCCCCACCCCCCAGGTCCCAGGGGGGCAGGGACTATGAAATTCACAATTTTTGTTCCTTCACCCATAAATACTATATGCCAGAACTTGTTGAAATTGGTTAAGCAGTTTCAGAAAAGAAGCTGAAAATGTTCAAAAGTTAACACAAGACGCACGGCGGATAGCAATAGGTCTCCTGGGTTTACTCAGGTGACCTAAAAAAGAAATAACACATACCTCAACCAAAATAATAATAACTAGACATCATTGAGATGGTGGCCATCTCAAATGGCCCCGCTTTCAGCAACCTACATGAAAATGTAAAGTAGCTGAAAAGGGTTTATTTTGAAGATGTTTAAGATTAAAGGGGACAAAAAGTAAGTACTCCCTGAAAAATAATACAATTAAAAACTTTAAGAAATGTATCCTCTATGAAAATTGTTGCATATCCTCTATCAAAATATGGAAGGAAAATCACAAATGCTACGTACCCAGTCAATGTGTTTGAGGCTGAGTGGACTCGAGGGAAAGAAATTATGCCAAGAATAATGATTTTAAACTGAGAGGCTATTTTTGACCTTAAATTGACCTCGAAACTTTGTTCAAGGTCACTGCACATTCATTGACCACTGGCACTCTGTGAGTGAAGTACTGAGCCACAGTGAACAAAGGGGAGAGAAGACATGCTCAGAACAAAGATTTTTCATGTAATTTATGACCTTAACCTTTGACCTAGACACAGGATTCAATGTCACTGCACACCCTTTACCCAAAGGCACTCTGTGGGTGACGTATGAGCCAGATTGGGCCAAGGAGAGAGAAGATATGCTCCGGACAAAAGATCTCGGATGGACGAACAGACTGATCTCTATAGGGCACCCGCCGAGCAGCCCTAATAACAATAACAAGAATCTCCTTGCTGCATTGATTTTGACCTGATTGAGAAACTAAAAATACTTTTTTTGGCCTTAATCAAGTTGATGGTGTTTTGCGATTAATGTGATACAATGCACACTTCAGAGTTCTCTCCCCTTTGTATTTTTCCTCTTAGTAACATAATTTAATTATAATAATCACATACTACAAGATGTAATTAATTTTTTCTATATCTGGATCTAAATTAAACTATGGATATGAGCAATATCTTAAAATCTTTCTCTTAATCTAAATGCAAATAAAAGTCCTAATGTAGGAAATCCTTATGGGGTCAGTAAGTTCACTATCACACCATCTAACAATTTTAAGTAGGGTCAATGGAGTGATAATGTTATATGGAGCAATAAGAATGCAGCAATGTTGATGAAGCGATAGAATGATGACAATGATGTGTTAATGGGTCATCATCATCATTGTGCCATCACATCAATGTCATCACACAACTGCACAATCTCTTCATCATCATCGCACTATTGTGTCACCCCACTATTGATTCAAACTCCAACATTATGCCCAATCAGGATTCCATTAAAATGTTAGATAGGAAATTTCTCAATTAGACATGTGCATTTAATTGTTATACTTAATTCCTGAAATCACAATCCAACTGATCTATGATCATTCAGGATAACCAATTTATCTTACTTTCACATTTCTTTTTCTGACTGGGGACTGGTGTGTAAGCCCTGTAATAATCCCTCTCCAGCACCTCCCCCTCACAGTAAACGCAGATGTTATCCCCCGGGGAGGTACAATTCCTGTGGTTGCAATTTGCAATAGGAGGACAAACTGAAATGAAAAAAAATGAACCAAATCATAAAGTCATATACAATAGACTTTCACATTTAAACAATAATTAAGTCATTTTCTTTTAAAGCTAGGTCAATCAGTATTAACCATAATTTTCCCTCAGTAATGTTACTAACTTATGGAGCAAACAACTTACATTTGTATGAAAAATGTTTGGTGCTTACAGTGTTTTCCTTAAGAATCAGAAATCAAAATTTCTTATAAGGTTACATAGTTCTGTTCATTAACATCAACCCTTAGCCTGTAACAATCAATCTTCAACCCTTCACTTTAAAATAAAGGGAAAACACTGTGCTTAATCTTTCATGCGAGTTGGTAAAATGGGTGGGCAAACCCAGGCCAGGGCAAATTAAAAGCTAGGGCAGTTCAAGATTTTTCAAATATCTTCACTAAGACTACCAATTTATTTGAAATTTTCAGACTATGTTTCTCGAAGGTTCTTTGAATTGCCAAGTAAATACTGCCTTAATATACGTAAGATTCATATTCAACGCAATTGTTCATTTCCAAGTTGGTAAAATTGGTAAGCAAAATCAACAACACATTTTACAGTATTTTTGAATTAATATGAGTAAATGAAACAGTAACATGAGTTCATAAAAAATAGGCCAGACAATTATTTTCTGACATTTGAATTTGAATAACACGGTCAATAAACACGTGTGTTTTGAGAATATGTTTAGGTCTTTTTTAGGGGTGGGGGTGGGTGGTATGTTGTAAATAAACAAAGGTACAAAACAGTACAAAACCATAACTTGATTGAAGTTTTAAAACACAGGTTTACAAATGAGTAAAGAAGACTTTTGTGAGAAAAATTAGCATTATGCCCATAAAATGAAAAATCTTTTTTGGAATGGGCAGAGATCGACATCAGATCTGCTGGAATGGGAAAGTCGTCTACATAATGAAAACATTTAATTTTCACTAATTTAAAAACTCTTTTAACCCTGGTTTCTCTGTTTGAACTCTTGCAAATTCTGCCTATTATATCCTACCATTTTATACAATACAATTTCGTAATTTAAAATAAATTTCAGTCAAACTATTCATGAATTCGTCTTCTAGCATCTTCATATCGGCACATCCGACAACAAACTGGAATCGGTATCTCGAACCCGACGTATTTTCATGAAAACTAACCGTTTTGAAATAAACAAGTACAATGTCAACCCAAGATGTTGACACAATAATATGAATATGAATTCTTCTTTGTAACACAAGCTCATAATCAAAGTTTAAACCATATTCATTACAATCCATTTGCTATTTATTTCGTATCAACAGTGAAAATTCAGCAACATTAATTAACAGGAAAAGTAATATTGCGTTTATTCCGTAAATGACAAACAGGAAAATGTTTCTTTAATGTAAAGAATCTTGAGAGGAAATAAATGATGAATGAATGAATGCGTTTATTCCGTAAATTGCATAAATTAAAATTCAAAAAAGTTGAAAAAAGAATAAATAGCAAGCTCTAATTATTTTTTTCTTTTCTCATTCATTCATAAATAAATAGCACATAATTAAAGATGTGTCTAGTTTGACTATTTCAAATCCAACATAATTTTAAAGAAATAAAATAAAATTGCGTTTATTACGTAATTTGCATAAATCAAGTTGATTTGTAAGAAAGTTGTAAGAAACTTAACGGATTAAATAGCAACTTTATTTCATTGTCATTCATTGATTGTTTGCTGTTTATACATTAAAGATATGAATGAAAACAGCGTAAATAAATATATTTACAGAATAAATAGCATATTTTTGAAATAATTTCCTTACACATCTGTTCTGTTTGTGGTATTATACACTTCAGTTTACATGAAAACCACGGAAAAGGGAAACTTGCATCGGTATATACTCATGTTATTTGATTCGCTTCATCATCTTAAGATTGATCAATTTAAGAATGACCACCCCCACCCCCCTCAAATCTCCCCTTTAAGAGACTTTTAGAACGTTGCCTGTGTATATATATACTCAGGCTTATGTTATTTGATTCGCTATCCGCCTCTAAAGAATCGAACATTATTAGATCCCCCTCTATCTCTCATATAATCTTCTTTCCTGAAAGCGTAATAAGAAGTACTAAATATTCAAAAGTAATAATATAAACTTAATTACATCATTAAAATCCTTCTTATACAAGTAATGATGTTAACGTGTACAACGTCAAACTTATTCCATTCTCGAAGCGAATAAAATGATAATGCCCATATGGCATGTTAAACCTTACAATATTCTATGTTGTCCATTTGTATTGCATAATTTTTATTTTGTTCTATTATTTCCATTTGCATTGTAAAATTTTCCATCTGTATTTTAAAATTTTTATTTGACGAATTCATGCAATCTAAAATTTTCCTTTTGCATAATATAATTTTTCATTTTTTATTTCATTTCTTTTTATTCAGGTAATAATATCACAGAATGTCATGATTACACACATAAATTAAAAACATTACAGTTTAGCCTTCTGATAGAAAAAAACCTGAACATAATTATCTCAGCACTATGTTACTTAATAAAGATCTCACTGAACATGACTTGTACATTTATCATACGCATATTTATGTAAGTTAAGATATAAGTATGTATAATTTTTAGTTGTTTTATGTATTGCATCGTTTGGCATGCAACAATTAACATGTTATATTTCCTATCTCTTATTGTTATCAAACTGAGCCCTACCTCTCAAATTAAAAAAATTACATGAATGCCACCACCAAGATAACAAGATAAATAAAAATATCTTTGGACCCCGGGTGAATATTAGGGGGAGGGGTTCCTGTCCACATGTACAAGAACCTGTGAAATGTTTTGAGGAATTTTCTTTGAAAATAGCACAGTAATGTCGATCACGTGAACCGTGATTTTGTATTTTATTTAATATTTTTTAAAGAATGTCTTATGATAAGCAGTGCATGTTTTGGTCCAGCTGATTCAAGAAATATTCTATAACAAAACTGCATGGCATATACAATTTTTTACTGCCCCTTACTTTTACAATAAGGTCCGTCTGCATAGAAGCCATCATTACAACTTGTACACTTCTCCAGGGAGGAGCACTTTCCCCCACTGTCACGCACCAGTGGATGGTTCCGCTTCAAAATTCCATCATCAGAGTAACGCAATGTGCAGGCGGCCCCACCGTAATCTGTTTTATCATCACAAATAGCTGTAAATGAAGAGTGAAACAATAAATCAATGGATTAAGACATTTTTTGGGATTCTAGGCACTCAAAATACTTGATCTCACTACATCAAAACAATAACCATTCCATACACTAAGAATTTTTCTAATACCATGCTTATCCATTATTATGAAGAGTACACACACCAAACAATCATGAAGAGTAGAAACAAAAAACAATAATGAAGAGTAAACACACCAAATAATCACGAAGAGTAGAAACACCAAACAATCTTGGAGAGTAGAAACACCAACCAATCATGGAGAGTAGACACAAAAAAAACAATCATGGAGAGTAGAAACACCAGGCAATCATGGAGAGTAGACACACCAAACAATCATGGAGAGTAGACACACCAAACAATCATGGAGAGTAGACACACCAAACAATCTTGGAGAGTAGACACACCAAACAATCATGGAGAGTAGACACACCAAACAATCATGGAGAGTAGACACACCAAACAATCATGGAGAGTAGACACACCAAACAATCTTGGAGAGTAGAAACACCAACCAATCATGAAGAGTAGACACACCAAACAATCATGGAGAGTAGAAACACCAAGCAATCATGAAGAGTAGATACACCAAACAATCATGAAGAGTAGACACACCAAACAATCATGGAGAGTAGACACACCAAACAATCATGGAGAGTAGAAACACCAAACAATCATGAAGAGTAGACACACTAAACAATCATGGAGAGTAGACACACCAAACAATCATGGAGACTAGACACACCAACCAATCATGGAGAGTAGACACATCAAACAATCATGGAGACTAGACACACCAACCAATCATGGAGAGTAGACACATCAAACAATCATGAAGAGTAGACACACCAAATAATCATGAAGAGTAGACACACTAAACAATCATGGAGAGTAGACGCACCAAACAATTATGAAGAGTAGACACACCAAACAATCACGAAGAGTAGACACACTAAACAATCACAGAGAGTAGATGCACCAAACAATCATGAAGAGTAGACACACCAAACAATCATGAAGAGTAGACACACCAAATAATCATGAAGAGTTGACACAGCAAACACTCATGGAGAGAAGACACACTACTATACACTACTGTTCAGTGAACAATCATGGAGAGTAGACACAGCAACCAATCATGGAGAGTTGACACACCAAACAATGATTAAGAATATAAACACCAGCCATATAGCCAACCATAATGAGTACATACATACCGATCAATCAAGACGAGTATACACACCAGCCTATCAAGGAAGAGTCCAATATACATTCTCAATCAAACCAATGAGAAACAGATTTTGTTTTTATGAATTCAAACTTTAATTTTAGATTTGAAATATTGAATATACAATTGTGCCACTTAGAGGTGAACTTACATTTACTGAGGGCCATGGGGTCTAAATGGTTATTTCAAGTACTTTTTTGTGCAGAAGTAAAGATTACTTAGCCTAATTACCTAATTAGGATAAATATCTCTTCCCTATATACAGATATAGAGCATTTTCTCTCGATTGGGGAAAAATGAGAAATAAGTGCTAGATCTTCGAATGTATATTACTTTTTCAATAATGAATATTCATTTTGATGACAGATATTTATGAGTTTATGGCATCAAATGGACGATTTATGATCAAGTATGGAGTCTGATACCGTATTTGCAGGATGTGGGATCATCTGGTTCGCTTCTGTATCCAGGACAACAGTACAGTTCAGATTTATAAATGGTTCTAAAATAATAAAAATTGATTAAATTTTTAATCTTTATAAATTAAATGAATCTAAATCATTCTTTAAATGCTGAGTTTCCTTCAGATAAAGTAAGAGAATTTAAAGAAAGTTACTATCCTTATAACTTTAAACGGTACTATTGATTCCAAACTTGATATTGTGTGTATGTGAGTTTCGGAGAGAGAGAGAGAGAGAACACCTGTATCTTGTACACCGGCCCCATTTCCAGAATTTACATTTCGCCTTATATCTCTCCTTAACTGACCATGTTTTCTTGCAAACATTAGCTCTGAAATAAAAAAAAAACAACATACCTGGTAGAAGATCTAAAGAAATAAAGGACTTTTAATTTGTATATCACTAAATGAATCAAATCACAAATAATATGTTAATGCTTTGAGAGAAAATGAATAGTGAATATCTTAAAGTGTACATGTAAAATGTGCATCACAATTTCTTTGTTGTTAAATCGGAAGTCAATCATTCCAATGTGACAAGATTGCATGATCAATCCTTAGACAATTAACTGAGATGAAATGAAAGATCTTAAAATTTATAAAATAAAATAAAATAAAATAAAAGAAGAAAGCAACAGATATGAGAGTGAAAAATTAAATCTCAATTATTACTATACCTTATTTGATACTTCATTTCATATTAATATATACTTTATGTAAAATCTCGGAGCCATAAATCAGAGCAACCTAACAAAGAGTGTACATTTTATGCAAACAAAAACAAGGAAAAAGCCCACGTCACGTAAAAATACATCTTTATTATAATTATTCAATGATGTTGATTCTTTGGAAAAAATTATGCAAATTTATTACTTAAATAAACATTATAGTCTGTTCTCTTTAAGTATCAGTCACATTATCCAGCGATAGCTAGGGTACTCGATGAGAAACCGATGTGATTTTTTTTTTCTAAAAATGGCGTGGTTGCCGGCCGGACACCTATCTTAATCGGACGGTGACTGAGGCCATTCGGCGAATCTGTGGGGGTCATCGGTAAAAAATAAGCTGTAGTTAAAAATCAGTGATGTCTCCACCGATGCCCCACATCGCTCCTCATCGGCAACCGATCATTAACATATCTTTCAAGGATCGACCGATGTAAGGCCGAGCATCATTAAGTGTCCGTTGGATCTGATGTCGTCGGGAGGTTGAGTGGTGGGCAACAGACATCGACCGATCATCGGTCAATGTTCGATCAAACTGTGAAACATTGGCCTATAGTCGACGGACGTATGAACGATGTCCACTGATGTATGAGCGATGTAATATATATTACACCGGCCGATTACACAGGCGCTTGTTTCATACAGTGAGCTTAGTTTTCTACTATATAATAACACTGTTATTATATAGTAGAAAACTAAGCTCACTGTATGAAACAAGCGCCTGTGGCCGATTACCCTGGAACATCGATTTATGATTAGCAATGCATCGCTGGGCCTTTGTTAGTCTGGCCGACAACCACACCATTTTTATCAAAAAAGCATCGCATCGCTGGATAATGTGACTGATACTTTAAGGACTACTAGGCCGATGTGGACCGATGTTGGGGCATCGCTCACAACACGGATTACCACCGGTCTACGGCCACCGGCCGAGAAATGTGACTAGGGCATAAATTAGCTATCACCTTCTCCTTGACCCACAGTATTATATGTATATAATGTTTAATATGTTTCTGCATCTCATGTACCATTTACATGGGTTTGAGAGAATAAATTGAATTGAATTGACTGAATGATGTTACACAAATTCGTATATTTTAAAGTAATATTGAAAGTCAATTTAGCATAACAAAGATAAATAGCGGGTTCCATTAGATGTTAAACCAAGCCACAGTAGTGAAGGAGAAACTTCAAGAGTACTCAGCACGGTGCACCTATGTATTCAAGACGTGGTGTAAATCATATGTAATACTCAAAAATTCCAAGGAACTTTTGTACAATTTGAATTCACAAGATTTTATTAAAATCAACAGCCTTTAAACTTAAAGATTTTTTAACTTTATACACACCATTCCCCACGATAAAATAAAGATTAGGCTTTTCGATATCATTGACAGCCGCATTTTCCAGTAAAAATGGAACTTGTAAGTTTACTTTCCTTGTCATTGGTCATTTGCAAGATTATTTTGTTAAAAATATTCTGATTGTACACACAAGTACTCTGAAGTTGACATCAAAAACATGCATGAGTTTCTTCTTGACAATATCAATGAATATCTAGGTTGTTTTTTGGAGAAAAAGTCTTCGTACAGTCTCTTGAAATCCCGATGACTACCAGTTGCACACGTTGTTAGCAGACCTATGTTGTATTCATATGAAGCAGAATTTATGCAAAATCTTATGCATGAAAAGAAGACTTCAACTCGACAATTGGATATAAGTATATCGTCAAAGTAATGTCAATTAACATAGGTAATTTCCATTCTTACGTCAATACGATATATCCTAGTGAACTTGAGATGAAAGATCCTGCAAAGTCAGACACATCTGTTTCATATTTTGATATTTTACTTTAAAAAGACGTTAATGGTAATCTATCAACCAAAATCTATGATAAATGTGATGACTTTAACTTTTCAATCGTCACCTTCCCTTATTTATGCAGCAATGTACCTTCCTCGCCTGCATACGGAGATTATATATCTCGTTTGATTCGATACGCAAGAGCATGCTTTACATATGAACAATTTCTAAAACAAGGAAAATTATCGCCAAACAAGTTGATGAAATAAGCATATCAGCAGTCTCGTTTAATTTAATATAAAGTCATTATTTCGTAAGTTCCGTTGTCGATACAATTACCTTGTCAGCAAATACGAGCACAATCTATCACTGAGTTAAAATGCTGACTGACGTGTTCATACTAATTGTTAGTCCACTATTTATAACTGAATTGATGACGAATTTTTCCGTTATTTCCCGATCATAACAAGGAGCGCATGGCGGGTGTGACCGGTCGGCAGGTGATACTCACTCCTCCATGGCACCTGGCCTCACCTCTGATGTTTTGGAGGTCCGTGTTTGCTCTGCTCCTATTTTGAATTGTTTTATAGACATTTAATCTTGAATACTGCTCGATATTTCCATGTTTCAGGTTTAGTCAAAGGTACATTATTCGTTCTGTTTGGTATAGCCTAGTGGTGAATGTGTTAATCTCGATTGAAGGTAAAATTGATATCACGGAATTTATATCTCTCAGATGATTCGATACGTAAGAGCATGCTCTCCGTATGCATGCACAGTATTTTAAACGAGGTAAATTATTGACAAACAAGTTGATGAAACAAGGATATCAGCAGTCTCGTTTAAAGTCATCGTTTTGTTCATCAAGTTCTATGGTCGAAACAATGACCTTGTCAGCAATTTAAATTTAACATTTAGTCGAATGCTGACTGACGTTTTTCATTCCAAATGTTAGTCCATTTTTTACAACTGAATTGATGACGGATTTTTCCGTTATTTCCCGATCATGACAGGGGCACATGGCGGGTGTAACCGGTCGATAGGGGATAGTTATTTCTCCATGGCACCTGATCCCACCTCTGATGTTTTGGAGGTCTTTGTTTGTTCTCCTCCTATTTTGCATTGTTTTATGGACTTCTGAGCTTGAATACTGTTCGTTATCTCCATATAATTATAGTTAGGATAGAATGGAGTTTACCAAGATAATTTTTTGCTGAAAATTTTTTTTTTTGGTCATAGTTTAATTCATACCTTTCAATGATAAGAACTCTAATTTAAATACAGATTTCACAATTAAATATTACTTGACACTTGAAGGCTTCAAGCTATAGACATATTCCATGAACTGTTCGCTTAATTATAAAGTATATGATTTCTCAAAATCGACAGAGATTGTTCCGTATATTAGCAAAGAAGGTAATTTATCGACCATACTATTTTTTGCTTCATACGAATACAGAAAAGACCGTCTAAAAAGACGCACTGTAGCCACGCACTTTGAAAAAAATGCTTTAAAACTGAGATATAATCAACGCACTTTGAAAATTTATCAAATTTGGGGCAGAATCAACGCACTTTGAAAAATATTTTCAAAGTGCGTTAAGGGTGTGTCTCAACATTTTTTCCACGGAGGCACTTAACGCATTTTGAAAAAAAATATGTTAAAACAAAATTTCCAGGCTTATATTTTATTAACAGACAGCATTACATGTATTTTCTTTTAATTCTTTAAAAAAGATTGATGAATTGATCTACCCTCAACGAGAACGAGAAAAAAAACAGATAGAAGGACCTTAAGCCCATTTCTTTATCTTTTCTACCCAAAGATATGTATTGTATTCATATTTCTTTCGTTGAATTTAAGTTTAACGTAATTTGAAATAAAAACTTGAAATAAGATTTCCTAAAAAAAAAATAATAACGTACTCTACTGTGCAAGCGATGCTCAGGAAACTTCTCGCTGATCTACACAGCAATAGCCAAATGACTATATTTTGGCCAAAGTAACTTTTCAAAATCAAATAAAAAATAAAGATATAAGATGCATAAATGAATTTTGTTTATACATCTTAATACTAATCTAATTGTATTTAAAAATAACTGTTTAAAAGCCATCATCTTGCGCGGGGATAAACAATTTTTTCATTCTTCTAAATACTTATCAAATAACTCTAAAAAGACCATCAGTTTGTGTACGTAAATTATTTCAAATGAGCATTCAGAATCATTATCATTAAGGACATAAGCAAGGTACCTTACCTACTGATAATTTTTCAAGATATTCTAAATTTAAACTGATAATACCATTACATGTTCCTAGACAAAAAATCTGCATGCGTTACCAGGGGTTTGGAAAAGATGTCAAATTGTGAAAAATTTTGCATTATTCAAAGAAAAATGTACAAAAATTACAAAACATAAATTACGGATTTTTTTGTCATCAAAAATTGTTTTAGAAGAGGTGTACAAATCCTTATATATAGATTAAAAGTATTGCACACAGGTCCTTCGTTTAGTGGAACTCTTCAACTCCAGGGAAGAACCCAATAAAGTTCAAACTACGTTGCGTATGACCTTAACACTGGACATTTCAACAGAGTGTCGGAAGACCCGGTTTCCGAAAACTACATACATGTAGATATTGTCAATGAATTACTAGTATTAAAACATCTGTCTTAAGACAAAACTTCTATACTCGTAGAGATACCCCTTTCACCTTCACTGATTAATATTTTAGTAAGGAGTAAAGAAAGAGGTAGAACAATCACCTAGAAAAATGCTAGGAATCTTAATTTGGAAGGATT